ATATACCCACAGATATATGAAAGCATCCTCTTGTACTGCCCAAGTTTCTGGATATAAGCCTATTTGCTTCATTATCTTTTCAAACATGAAAATCTCATAACTTTGAAGGCCCAGCAAAGAAGTTTCCTTCTGTATTAGTTTGATTGTTTGACTATTTTGTTCTTCTAGTTATTTCCCCATAATTTATGAATGTTTAACCATTTCTTTGACAGTTGATGGGCTTCCCACTCTCTGAGGGCAAAATGGACCAGAAGACAGCTGAATCTCTCCTGTGGCAGTCCTATTCCATTCTCGTAAGAGTTTAGGGAATCATAGGAATTGGTAAAGAAACAAAGAAGGACGGGTACTTTCTCTACAACATAGACTGATTATGGCTAAAACTACATTGATCTGAGGTTCATACTCCATTTTTCTGCTTTCCCCACAATATTATATTTGTTTTGCTAGCCACTCAAAATACCCACTGTCACCATGACAAATTGTTGGGGAAAAGATTTATTTGGAAAACTACCAACCCAAAGAAGACGGAGGCATTCACCAGCAAACACCAGCATATCTAAGGATTGGAGGCATTAGACTTATATAGATAATTGTGGGAAGGCATACCACACAGTTGTGCACCATGGTAGTTAAAATTTTTGGCGCCTTTGCTCTTGACACCTGGCCTGCTCTTCCCATATCACTGGATGTTCTGGGTTCTAAAGAAAAGTCACTGACTAGCAAATCTTATGAAACATGTTTTAGCTCCATTGCCCAGGAGTAGTTTATTCTGAAGTTATTAGGATGCGAATGCTACATTTTCCTTGAGAATATGGAAAGATAACAAAGTGTTGCTTTTCCCTAGAGGACCACAGTGCATAGAGAAAGCATTTTTCCTTTAGAAGCTAGCATTCACTGGAGAACAGTTTCTAAGGTATCAGATGGCTTTACACAGAGGTGTCTTTTCCACCAAAGCCAGTGGAACAATAATAATACATCACTCAGATGCCTACCTCCAAAATTAAGAACTTAAAATCAATTAAAAGCAATTAGTATTATTAGTCTTCCCTGAGTAAAAATGGTGCTCAAGAGGTTCAGGATCGATAAAGTCTTAATCAGCTGGAAGCCCTATTGTGTATCAAGTGAGGTGGTCACTTTCTGGTCTATTTCAGAACATCTCTAAGAATCTGATTCCAGCAGCTGTGGAGAAGTATTTAGGGGGCACAGATGACCTGGTGAAAAAGCAAGATCTGTTCCTGCACTTGATTGGAGATGTGATGTTTGGTGTCCCATCTGTGATTGTGTCCCGTGGCCACAGAGGTGAGTCTCAGGTGTTGGACGACAGAGGGCCAGAGGGCTTACCAGCTAGGTCTCTGACATGTCTACTTGCCATCATAAACAGATATGAAATCTGCTGAAGGTCAGGCCTCAAAGTTAATTCCATGTGGCTTGTGATGTTTAGTTTTTGCTCTGCCAGTAAATTTCTGTGAGGAAAGTTCACATGCAATTTAATTGAGAAGCTGATCTAGGAAAACACCATAGGGCAATAAGGAAGTGACAAAGAGACAGGATGGAGCTCAATCTGGAGAACTGCCCAGCATGTGTCCACCTCAAACAGCTGCAGCTGGAGAGCTCTAGGCAACAAGCAGAGGGAACATCTTGGGGTTATCCTCTCTGATCAGCAAGGGAGCTGTCTATGTAACCACCAGTGACTACTTCTCACTGGCTAAATGCCTTTCCAAGGAGCTGTCAGCTTTGTGGCACCTACATTTGCACAAAGATGGGTAAAGTTGTTTCTAGTGACAGTAAAAAGCTATGGAGAAGTATTTAGAATGGACAGATGAACCAGGGCAAAAGCAAGATCTGTTCCTGCACTTGAGCAAGAACAATTGCTGTTGTATGTAAATGTCAGGGTGGCCTGCCCTGAAACATGGACTATTAGCAAAACACTATAATAGTTACTTTCCTTACCTCTGTAACAGAAGCCTGACATAAGCAGCTTAAGGGAAGATAAATTTATTTTAGCTCAGAATCTCAAAGGTTCCCAACTGTGATGTTGGGAGAATGCAGCTCATGTATGGAAAAGAAAACAGTGAAGCCATGTGAGGTACAACGGAAAGGGTCCAGAGTAGGATATTCACATGGTCCCAGTGACCTACTACCTACAAACAGGCCCCACCATTCTACCACCTCCCAAAAGTGTGTTGAAATTTTGAATCCATCAATGGATAAACTACTCAAAAGCCAGATGATCTAATTGGCTCTCCTCGACCCATACAGAGGTGTGATTTGCTGGTTTTCTAAGCCTTTCTTTTCCTTCCTTCCTTCCTTCCTTCCTTCCTTCCTTCCTTCCTTCCTTCCTTCCTTCCTTCCTTCCTTCTTTCTTTTTGGTAGTTTTGAGAGAGATAGTTTTGTAGTCCCAGCTGGTGTGGCACTCACTATGTAGACCAGGCTGGCCTTGAACTCACAAGAGAACCTCCTGCCTCTGTCTCCTGAGTGCTGGGATTTAAGGTGTGCACCACCAGGCCCAGCTGGCATTTCCCAATATAACCAGGTTGCTAGTATTAACTATTGAAGGCAACAACAGCATCTGCTATGGCTGCTCATTCTCTAAGGTTTGGTGATTAGTGGGACTAAAAGGCAACTATTGGACGAGGTGTCTTTGGTAATCTTCAATATCAGAATGAATTTTAAACTAGAATTTGTAACTAGAAGATCTGAGGTGGGAGAGGAGTCGTGTATAGAACCAAGAATGCTGTCCAGAACCAACAAGGTCAGAAGCAAAGTGTGAGGTGAGGAGGGGTGACGAGTCAATGTGTGGAGCTGGCTTTGTGGCATGTGTCATTATCACCAAGCTGAAGGACCAGCCAGTGGTGTCTTATGGGGCTTTGTGGCATTCATCCAAGAATGGGTGGCTAGAGTGTGAAATTACAGATATGTGAGCTCATGTAGGTAGGAAGTGATCCTACCTGGGTAAAGCGCCTCATAATGCCCTTGATTTTCTGGCCACCATCAAGCACCTAGCTTGAAACTAGGAGGCAGTTCTGTCATGCATACCACTGTCCCTCATCTGTGAGACTTTACAAACCTGATAAGAATGAGCTATGATAGCCCTCTTCTGTGGTTACTTCCCACACTTACAGTTTCCTGTGAGAAACCTCAGGAGCAAAAGAATAGGGAATATACTACAATGAAATATTTTGAAAGAGAAAATCTTCATATAACTTTAAATTGTGAATTGATAAGTTGAACAATTTTTTAGCTGAGAATGACATTTTTTAAAAAATTTAAAAATTATTTACTTAATAACCACATAATTAGAAGAAGCATTTCATTATTACAGTTTCCTGTGAGAAACCTCAGGAGCAAAAGAATAGGGAATATACTACAATGAAATATTTTGAAAGAGAAAATCTTCATATAACTTTAAATTGTGAATTGATAAGTTGAACAATTTTTTAGCTGAGAATGACATTTTTTAAAAAATTTAAAAATTATTTACTTAATAACCACATAATTAGAAGAAGCATTTCATTACAACAGCCAACAGCACTGCACCAGCCAGCATGTTGCATATCATACTATTGTAATATTTGTTTGACATTTATGTGAGAACTTATTAGACATTTGGCTATTATCTGTAATCAAAAGCCAAGGTTTTTTTTCTTTTTTAATTAAAAAATTTACTAACCACATGATTAGAAAAAGCATTTCATTACAACTTTAACATATTCGGTAACACACTCCAAAGCAAAGATACATAACTTTCAAAAGTGGCTGTAAATTTTTAGGTTCACAGTTGAATTAATACAGTTATACAATATTGAACTCAGTATCAACCCTGTAAGATATAAAATTGAATGTGTTTTTACCCTGTAAATAAGATCTCCATTTCAAGATATGCTGTTTCCTACATTTTTTAATATTATTCTTTAGTTTTTTTTAGAAGAAGCATATCATTACAGCCTTAACATGCCAAATCTGATGATTAGTACTCACAGTCAGTTACGCTCAGATCCTTAGTACCTGAGTATGGATATAAAGTCATCAGGTAGATTTCACTGGTAATGTTTATCACCTCTACTATTTAACATGAATTTTTTACTATTTCATGAAAATCCTCAAATATGTCTATTTTTTTAAAAAATTGATGATTTTTGTGTGTGTATATCATACAGAACATCCCACACAATCTTATTAATCTATATACCCACTTCCCAAATGGCACCCTCCCATAGCCTCCCCCCTCACACACACTGGACCACATATACTCTGTCATCCCTGTTACTGTCCACTGTGTTGTTGGCACCCCTAGCCATTCGCCAGTGCTTGTCTGTCTGCTGAATATAGTCAGCCTATCTAGAAAGCCTTGTTTTAGGAAGATCAGCTGTTGCTCATCTAGAAGCAATCAGTTGTCAATATTCCTTTAGATAAGATTGGGATCTGCTGTTCATTTTCTTGTTCTATGCTGGGTTACTGTTTGGGAGTCTCTTGTGCCACCCTGGCCAATAACTCAAAGTAAGTTATCTCCTGCTTGGCATTGTTTCTTGTTATATAGCCCTTTGCTGTACATATGGACTCTTAAAAATTATATCGACCCCATTAATCTTTGGTTATACTTTCCTTTTGGGTGTTTAAGACCCTACAGTTGGCCCTGATAAAACAATTTATTTTTACTCTTAAGGTAGTTTAAGGATCTGTTCCTCAGGGGTAACATGGGCTTGGGAGGAGCCCCTAGCTCCTTTCTTTTATGAGTTCCATCTATGTGAAGATAAGTCAGAGGCCCTACTCGACCATGGCTAGCTTCACTTGGAAGCATGAAGGAAATGTTTCCTCTGTGTTGACCCTCCTTTTTGTAGACTGGGCGTTGGTTCAGGTCCATCTGGTGGGGTCTCCATGGCCTCCTTGCTCAAGAGGACAGGTGACTCACCACAGTTACAGGACATTTTGAGAGATGCTCATAGTCCCCTGGAACTTAGTCGACCTAGGAGGGCAAGGAACGAAAACTGTCCTTTATGTCCCCCTGACCAAATTAGTATAGGCCTCAAAGTATGGCTGTTAAACATCCAAGGTTAGTTCCACCAGTCTGGTACTTTTAATTACCATATGCCATGTAGATAGAGCTTGGGCAAAGGCCAAAGGATCTCAGATAAACCTTGCCTTGACATATATTACATTCTTTGATCTGATTGTATGTATAATTTGTCAGTAGGTTGTTGGCATAATATGCTTCCCTCTGGTTTTCTAAAACTAGCTAGACATTATTTATCTCTCGCATTGTCTAACCCTTCCACCATGGTTTCCCCATTTAAGGTGTTACCATTTTTTCCATTTCTCCCTTAATAATACCCTTTTCCTATAGTCCCACCTCTCTTGAGCTCCTTCTTTCCCTTTATCCTCTAGGTTCCTTGTATAACTCCCCCCCTTAATATAACCCCACTATTACCCATATCTCCCTTGTTAACACCTGTTTTCTACTGTTCTTCTCTTTCAGATGCTTTCTTTTCCTTTACCACACTGGTTCCTTTTCATTATCCTGGTTCCTGTAGTTATGTCTGGATACATATTCACTTATAAGGATTTGGTGCTAGGATCTACATATGAGGGAGAACATAAGTCTTTTTTTTCTGAGTCTGTGTTACTTCACTTAGTATAACAGTTTCCAGTTCCATCCATTTACCTACAAATTTCATGATTTCATCTTTCTTTACTGCTGAATAAAATTCCATTGTATAAATAAACCACATTTTCATTATCCACTCATCAATTGAGGGACACTTAGGTTGCTTCCATCTCTTAGCTATTGTGAAAAGAGCAGCAACAAACATGGATGTACAAGTGTCTCTGCAATAGGATGAGTTCTTTGGGTATATGCCAAGGAGTTGTATATCTGGGATAAATGGTAAGTTCACTTTTTAAGAGTTCTCCACACTGCTTTCTACAGGGGATGAACAAGCTTGCATTCCCACCAGCAGTGGATGAATGCTCCCCTTTCCCCACATCCTCTCCAACATTTGGTACCATTTGTTCTCTTGATTTTAGCCAGTCTGACTGGGGTAAGATGAAATCTTAGAGTGGTTTTAATTTGCATTTCCCTAATTACTAGTGATGTTGAGCATCTTTTAAGATGGTTATTAGCCATGTTTATTTATTCTTTTGAGAACTCTCTGTTCAGTTCCTTAGCCCATGTTTTAATTGGGTTACATCCTTCTTGATACTCTGTTTTTGGAGTTCAATATATATTCTGGATGCTAAAACTCTGTCAGACGTGTCACTGGTAAAGATTTTCTCCCATTCTGTGGGTTTTCTCTTCACTTCTT